CACTAGGTTAGGGTGGTTTCGTCGACCCCGAGCCACCATAAACACTAAAGACAAGGTTAGGGTGGTTTCGTCGACCCCAAGCCATCATAAATCCGAAACACTAGGTTAGGGTGGTTCCGTCGATCCTGATCCACCATAAACCATAAACACTGGGTTAGGGTGGTTCCATCGACCTCGAGCCACCATAAACCCTAAACACTAGGTTAGGGTTGTTCCATCGACCTCAAGCCACCATAAACTATAATCACTAGGTTAGGTTTTAGTCAACAATCTATCAACATGTCCATCAATATGTTCATTAATCCATTAACATGTCGTCAATCAATATATCCATCCACATGAGCAAATAGCAAAACACTGACATTGAAGTATAAACATATCCACCAGTGCCATCAATCCATGAACAAAATCCCCAACAGAACCATCAAGTTATCCATCAAGAGAACCATTAACAAACCATCAAGTAGACTTAGCAGTGACATCAAACCCTAAATAAAACACATTGTGGCATCAGAAGAAGTTGTTGCAGTGGCATCAAACCCCAAATAGAACACATTTTAGCATCAACAGAAGTTGTTGCAGTCACATCAAACCAAAATAAAACACATTGTAGCATCAACAGAAGCTTACATGGCACGTCATGCCATTCAGCAGTATCCACTGGCTGAGAACTAGGCCATCTAGCCAGGGGGTGTACCATCACTAGGTGGAGGAGCACTAGAAGTTGGGGCACCATACTGCCTTGGGGAAGAGAATGGCCTTGAAGTACCTACAACACCTCTCCCAGTAGCACCTATTGCAGATCGTGAAGATTGAGCCATGGTATCACCTCTTGCAGAAGATGCTCTTACAGTTCCTCTTCCACCACCTCTACCAGCACCACTTCCAGATCTTGCTCCAGCTGGAGGAGCTCTTTGTGTTGGTGCAGGAGTTGTAGGTGTTGGTGCAAGAGCTCCAGGAGCAACACCTCTTGCTTGTGAATTCCTTGCAGCAGGCTTGGAAAACAACTCAAAGGAAAAACAGTTAATAATACTACAAGTAAGAAATGTACAAGGGAAAACGTAATTTACAAAAACATCAAACTGAAGAACTAGTTAAAAGGGAATTACCACATGTTTGTTCTTTCTCAAGGCCAACTCAGGGTTAAAAGGGAACTATTAAGAACACAATTAACAAGCTAAGCTACTGTTTAATAGATAACAACTAGGTTTGGAAAATAGATATTTGCAACACATAATGGAAGATGCATTCACATACCTTTTGTCTATCAGACATTATAGTATATGGACCAAACTGTCCAACTTCTCCTCCTAGACAAATTTTTAGCTGGTGTAAAAACCAACACTAGTTAGGTGTGTCCTCTTGTCTAACAATTCCAAATGCAATTGGGTAGATGTTGTTATTTCCATCTCTACCAGTGGCAGCAATGACTTGTGCACCAGTTGTTAGTTTAATAAAACATCCATCAAGACCTCTAAGAGCAAGTAAAGAGAACATTCAAAACGGATAAGTATCAAATGCATTTATATGTGCAATGAATTGAAAATAACATCTAAGTACTCTCTACAAGCTGAAGTTACTAAACAATGAATGGTCTACAACCCTTGAGAAACCCCTCCCTTGCACCATTGATGCAGTAAAACATGGCATGGAATCATGGTCCCGGATGTGGAATTTTCTTAGTTGGTCGTCGAGTTACTGTAGTGACTACAACTCTGCTCCCAGGGTTAGTATCCATGACAGTCTGTGCATATAATATCTGAGCCTTGGGTATTGCTTCCTATGATCCCCCAACACAGCCTCAACAACTATGTTTTTGCCCTATATGCCATAGCCTTGGGCACATGCACTCCATACTGACATCTGATCTAAATAGTGGCTCATAATGCTTTGCAAGCCACTTGGCACTCACCCTGGTTGTCTCTGTAGTAGTAGGGTAAGTGTGTTGTAGTCTCATCTTCTTAATTGCAAATATTTTTTCACCTGTTATAACATCTGCCACAATACATAAATTGCAATGTCCATATTTGCAATGCACAATGATCCTCTGATCTGAGTTCCTATGATACTTGAAGTCTCTGCACTGAGTGATGTGCAAGCTCAACAAAGCTTCTCTAAATTGATGTTGATCCCTGAAACACATATGCAGTTGCAATTACTAGTGTGGTTGCTCCAATTGCTCATTGTAATATACTCTGGGTGGCCTCTTGTTTGCCTTACTCTTCCATTTTCGAGGTAGCACAAATGCTAGCGGTTCATACCCATCATCTTCAATGTCCTTCAGTAGACATTTCTCTTCTTCATCTGACGAGGGTTTCCAATCTGGTTGCACTTCTTCTAAAACACTACTATCTGACCTTGTTCTTGGTACTCTCCTAACTGGCAGCTTCTGCTTCTTCTTTGCTGCCAAAGATACAGCTTCTTCTTCTGAACCTACTGTATCACCCTCATCCAGCTCGAATAAATCCTCATCCTCTGTATCACCCCCATAATGCAGCATTTCCCCTTCTAATTCTTCATCCTCTGTTTCTTCCTCTTCTAGATCTTGTAGCTCTCTCTCTCTCTCTCATTCCTCTTGCATCTTTATATCTTCAGCAGGCCGCAGTTCCTCTTCAGAAACAAATGAGTATACATTACTGCCATCATAGCCCTCCTGTTCTTCTTCCATAACAACTTCCAACTTTGGATTTAAATATTCCTGCTTTCTTGTGTTAAAACTTGAGGACACAGCTGCACTTGAGGAGATACTCTGGCTTTCAAAAACCACACCTTGCTGATCAACAACATAAATAGGAGGCTCTCTCAAGTCATAAACAACAGGTTCAGAATACACTATTGGAGCTAATTGGTGACTCAGTACTACACTGCCAGGAGATGGACTAGCCCTAACTAACACATCAAGCACCAAACTGTTGATTCTCCCTCTTAATCAACAGTAATTTAATATTATTTTCACCCAAGTCTAGGCCCTGCACTTCTGGAGACTCCATGTAATACAATGAATCATATACAGTAAAACCCTGGGTTTCCATCAGTGCTCTCAGATTCAGATATGTCACATCTGAGCTAGATAGCTTTCTCTCTAAAGTTTCCTGAGCATCAAAATGCATCCTAACATTCCAAATGTCTTCATACAAACTACAAATCATAGCCAATTTAAACTAATCAGCATAACCTACATGGGACTACAATTTCAGTTAACAGAAGATGATGACCAGTTAACCAATAAAACTATCCAGTAAACCTTACCCTAGTCCACAGTTTTACTAAACAGAAAATTTCAAGAAATTAAAGCTCAGTGCACTAACTAAATGCCAAATTGGTTTCATATTTTAGTTAACAGATAATTCCAACTAATTATTTAGCAGAATGCACTAACTGAATGCCAAATTGGTTTCACATTTCAGTTAACGGAAAATTCTAATCCCCAATTTAAAATGAAACATACCCTAACCCTAATCCCCAAATCCTACAAATTATGGTCCCCAATTTCAGTTTTACGGAGGCAAGAAGCAACTAACCCTAATCCTAATCCCCACTACCAACTAACATTGAAGGGATGTTTGACCAAATCTATAACAATAGAGAAGGAAAACAGATGAAATTCTTATAGCACGCCGCCGGCTCCATGTGTCAAGTGATGGCTACTGCTAGGGTTTGCCACCCATAGCTGGGCCAGACGTACCTGCTGCTCCATGGAGACTGTTGGCTCCATGAACTTGTTCTCGTCGTCGCTGGAGTAGGCGGAGCTCGAGTAGTCGCCGCCGCCGTCGAAACTACCTGAAGCAGCGCCGCCCGAGTCTCCACTTTTCCCGCCGCCATAGCCTTTGCCGCCGCTGCTACTGCCACCGGCCACATCGCCCGGGGTCGCCACCGCCATCGCCGCAGAGATGCAAAGGGATGCTAGGGTTCGAGGGGGAGGGAGGAACACGAGAGGAGAGGAGAAGCGGGGGAGAGCACGGGCCGAACCTGTCCTAGTGAGCGCGCGAGCGCATGCCGATTCGCCAGTCGGCTGACATGCGGGCCCGGGCAGTCAGTTCCAACGTCAATACGTAGAAATACGAAGTTTAGCCCAATTTGCAACAGCTTGCCTGAAACTTGGTACCGACACCTAAAAATTACGAAAACTGGTATCAATTCGCAACACTGCCCGAAATGTGGTACCAACGTGCAATTAACTCGATATTATGAAAGGTATGCTCGACCTTGATGGGCCAAATTTAGACGAAGGCTTGGCAGCAGGAAATCACACCACAACGATTTGAGTTTCTCAAAAAAAGAAACAGCTATTTGAAGATAAGGCAGCAGCAAAAGCAACATCCTCTTCCTCGCATACCTTCTGTTGCGGAAGCTCCCACGCTCGATCGGCATGGACGCCGGCGAGCTGGAGGTCTTCGACGCCGGCCGTTACACCGAGGGATATCAGCTCGGTCTCGCCGTGGGCCAGCGGTTCAGCGAGACGATCAGGAGCAGGATGCAAGTGGACCTCTTCCTGCAGGAGCAGCTGCTGCCGTTCGCGTCCACGGCGGCGGGCAAGCCGCTCCTCACCGCGCTCCAGGCCGCCAACAGGGAGAGGTACCCCCGGTACTGGGACGAGCTGGTGGGCATGGCGGACGGCAGTGGCGTCCCACTCCTCCACGTAAAATTCTCCTTCTCATTAACTTCCCCGGCCGTCTGCAACGTGGGAATTTCCGTTGAGCATTACTGAATGTGTGTGCTGAGCAGGTGATTCTGGTCAACTTGAGGAAGGAGATTCGTCCGTTCATCCCAAAGAAGGACCACGAACGGAGAGAAGAGCCCGACGACGACTGCTCCGACATCCTGATGGTGAGCGAGTCGACGGCGTTCGCGGCGCACAACGAAGACGCGACCGCCGCGCTGCTCGGCCACACGTACGTTGGTCGCCTTGCTCGTTCTCCGTGTCCGATCGACCGTCGCATGCACAGCTGATCCTTCCTGCATTCCTGCCTTCTCCGCCTCAGCTACGTGGTGAAGGCGACGTCGCCGGACGGCGTATCCTCCTTCACCGCCTACACCTACGCCGGCGAGCTCCCCACCTGCGCCTTCGGGTTCAACAGCAACGGAGTGGTACGTGTACTGTACGTCCCCATCCCCATCAGATCAGCCGGACGTGCGCGACTGGACTGTCACGATCCCTGCTGAATTTCGACATGTTCAGGCCTTCACGCTCGACTCGGTTCCGCCGGCGATCGGCGAGGTCGCCGCGGGGGCCATCGCCGTGAACTTCGTGTCGCGGGACCTGCTGGAGGCGAGAGACCTGGACGACGCGATGCGCAGGGTGTGCTCGCCGGGCGTCTCGGTCGGGCACTGCTACAACCTGATGGACGTCAGAGCCCGACGGATCGTCACCGTCGAGACCGCCTCCCGGAGCCGGTTCGCCGTCCAGGAGGCCGGCGCCACGCCCTCCTTCCACGCGAACATGTACCGTCATCTCCAAGTGGAGCAGGTAGACATGATCAGTACAGCCCAACAAGCTCTTCACTTCAGTGAGCGATGAGTAAACTTGCATGTGTCGCGTGGATGGATATTTACGCAGGTGCAGGACGAGAACTCCATGAGCAGGGAGAGGAGAGCGGCGCAGTGCGCGATGGACTCCAAGGAGAAGGCGCTCGCGGTGCTCGGAGACGCGGCCGACGACAAGTACCCCATCTTTATGACAGGTGATCTCAGCGCACGCCATTTTTCATGTATGTTGGGCACCGAAAAAATTAGGGAGTTTGCTACAAAAACATGACCTGTTGTTTCACCGGTGACTACTTTTCAGGTCCAACGCTGTATACTCTATGCACCGTCTTGGTTGATCTCGACGAGGAGACGATGACCATTTACAGGGGGAATCCCAAGAACAGAGATGCCGTTCGAGTAGCTCTTCCTATGCTGTCAACTTCTAATAACTAGATTAGCTTAGTCCTCGCCGCCGAGAAATTGGTCAGTATCCCTAATTGCTACAGTAGCACTATGATTGTAATTCAAAAGATCGGTTCAGATTTTTGGATGTTGTCACATACTAGTAGTGTATAATTGAGCATGATCATTTTTGCCAAACTGAGATCTGCAACAGGCTGCTTCTGTTCATATGACGATGTATTCACTGTATGACTCCTCGCAACAATTATCACCTCTGCACTGTAGGAAGACCAAATGCTGTAGTACAATGCTGTGCTAGACTGAAACAGTTCAACACAGTGCCATAGACTTTCTGTAATGACTACACGGTGCTGTGACTGTTGAACAAATCAGTGGAGTGTGCTTTCCCTGAACAATGTTTTGGTAAAAGGTAAGGGTAAGAAAAAAGGCTACATGCCATCTACAGCTCTTTGTCCCAGGTCCCATCCCAAATGACATCTACAGGTAAAAAAAATGCTCTTTGGACTTGAGTTTTACACGTGCTCTGAGTCTCAGTACCAATCATGCTGATAAAGGGATGCCGTGGAAAAGGAGGCAGAAATTCTCGTCAGCAACAACAAATCATCCAATGCATGCTACGGTGTTCCCATATCAACAGTAAATTTCCTGTAGACAATCAAGACCTTCAGCATATCAGTGTACCACTGTTATTACACATGAGAAATAGCTAAACTGCTGATTTCTCTGCACTGGGACAAAAACAATGTTTTCTTAGAGGATGGTATTTTATCTGTAGCAGCATTTTGCAAGTAAATGATGTATCTCATGCACACCTGTTATGTACCATGTCGGTGAATCTTGGGTCCCCTCTCAAGTCATGAAGTCGCGATTTCAACTAGTGTCACAGCGGCAAATGCTAAAAAAAGGCTCCCTCCGATGTATGCTATAATCTGCACGAGAATGGAGACAGAACTGTTGAGCATAAATTGTGCAGGAATTTGTCTTAAGTTTCTCAAGTTTCCTACAAATGTGGCCTATACACATGGAGTATTTATCTCCACGGCTGAGAAGAAGTCCCTAAAGTCGATATTATTCACCATAATAAAATGGAGTCGATAAGATATTCTGTTAGTTTTCTATAATAGCCCGTGTTTAAGTATGAGTAGATTTCGCTTACAGCGCCTTCTCATGATGGCCTGCGCTTTTGCATGAGCTCATTAGTGCACGAAATTGAACGGGTTGTTTATGTAAAAGAATTATTTGATATTATATATTAGCAAATTATATGTTAAGGGATTGATCGAGTGACAAACAAATGTAATCCGCACTACAAATCTGTAGCAATTTAAACATGGGAGTGAAACCACTAAGTCAAATTCATTTACACGGAGCACTGAGCATCACTCAGTTGGCTAGAGGCGACCGTGCTCACCCAGCCCACCCGGGTTCGAGGCTCAGACTCCCCGGTAGTTTCTTCTAGATAACAATGCCGCTTGCTAGGGATGTTAGTCGGGAAAAAAAATCACATGAGAAATCAGGCTCCCTTGATAGTACTGATTTACCTTTTCAGATAGGAATGTCCCCAGCAAAGAGCCACCAAGAACTGCAATCTGTGGGAGGAGAGATAGTTAATGCCAATCTCCATAAGAGCCAGAGCCAAAATGATCAACAGAATAACTGACGTGTACATAGTTGCTGCTCATAGTGTTTATGTTCAATAAACAGAGTAGATTTTAACTAAAAGAAGTTCCTTAGAAGAACTTAAATAAACATTGCATCCCGATAATACACTGAAGGTGTTAAGTTAACAAGCACATGCAAAAAATGATCAACAAGAGAAGGCAGTTGCAAAACACAAGGCTGGCACAACAACAGAACAAGTAGGACTCAGACAAATGACCAAAGCCCTAAAGAATTTCAGCATTCCATCAATTGCAATGTATAGTCCTTTAGTACGTTGACTACAGATAACTTATCACGAGAATGTTCTGCAAATTAGGACCATTTTTGTCAAGTACCGTTGTTTCTTACCAATGTTGCAACACCATGACCAGCAAGCGACCCTGCAATGACACCCGGAGGGGATGAAGCCGCAGCAAGTGCTGTGAAAGAACAAGGAAACAAGTGTCAATCTTGGTTGTGAAAATAGAATTTTACACTTGTATGTAATGGTAGTAAGAACTATACCGATTGTTGAGAAAAATGATTTATCACCCCATTCAGCAACAAAAACCAAAACAAATGTGCTAGCAAGAGTACTGGCGACAGACACTAATCCTGCACCATTTCCAGAAAACTTCGAAACTGCTATCTCAGCCTGCCATTGTTCAGTATAGTGTTATAAAGCAGTTTTATTATCAGACAGAAAGAGGGCCAAGCACAAGAATATCATCAAGTGCACCGAGCAACTGCAAAGGCTATCGATTAGATATGTAACTATAACTTTTGCAGTATATTCCTTAATGTCACTGATCTTGTATGCATTGCCTTTTTGCATACTTCTTTTGAAGACTATGCTCTTTCTCATGTAATAGATAATATTGACGTAGTTCTTAGAAGGTTTACAATATAAGCACACGATAGAAGGCCAAGAAGATTGGATTATTCATCAGTTAAGTCTTAGTTGATTAAAAGGTATGAATGTGTTTTTCTCTAAGATCCATATCATGAATATTGTGACCTGAAATTTGAGGATATACTAGAGTAAACCTAAGATTTTAAAATTTGAAGTTCTACCTCCTCTTGTTCCTCATTCATCTTTTCTCCATCACCTGAAGCTGCATCAAGTAATGTAGTAACTCCATAGTATACCTAAATTCAATTAAGCTCGTCAGGCATGACAATGTTTTTAAACCTAAACTTGTTTACAGAAAAACTGATTTCTAAGTACATATTTGAGTATCTGATAGATCATGATTTCAACACATTGTATATTTGTAAATGTAACAATGATACGAGGTTTCTTTGCTTACCAAGAGACACACAGCAAGAATGTCATCAATTGGGAAATCTGTACCGCCAAAACTGCATATGCCAAGAGGCACATCAGATAAGAATAGCAATTAGAAGGTTCTTCACTAAGAGCAGCAAACAGAAGGTCGTCAACTAAGGGTGGCAGACAAGGTCCTCTTTCAAACTTCAACAACAAGTACAATCACCTGAATGGAAGGACGCCATCAACGTAGTGAAATGCTCGACCAAGAACTACAGATATAACTGTCATTACCCTGTTAATACCCAAGAAGATCAACCTTGTTTGTAAGTCTGATATGTTCAAGTAAAAGCGGAACTTCATAATTTACTGACTATGGAAAAATTTATATTCCTGTATAACTTAAAATCTATAACTAGAAGCACATAAGCAAGTAACAGTATAGGAGAAGCATCGTAGCGTATAGAGAAAAGCATGAAAAATATACTTGTAGTACTTACGCAAGTGCTCCAAATGTGCCAAGAAAAATGACTCCTCCGGAATTTCTAGCTGCTAAAAGTGCCTATTGAAACACATGAAACTGCAGCACTTATCAATGACTCATTTTTGTATACACATTGGTACCAAATTACTTGTGTAGCACAGAGTGCGAAGTAAATAGGAAGCTACATAACTTGTGAAATAGAATGCAGTACTAGTGGTAGGGGTGTTCAATGTTCATAGTTGGTTTTGCGGTTTGGTCGAACCGGATTTTGAACTGGATGTCCGCATGCAACATTTAGTTCAGTCTGCCGGTTTCAACATGTAGTTTGCGGAATAGAAAATGCGGGCAAGCATTGTGTACGAAGTCTTGAAGCCTCTAAAGATTCTAACCATGGCAAAATAATCAAATTGTGTGCATGGATATACTCACCGCAATGAAAAACGTCCTGTCTCCTAGCTCAGAAAAGAAAATCAGCAGAAAAGCCTGAAATTGAATTTTGGGGCATCAGAAATGTACGCGACATGCACTTACTTTACGGAAAGAAATAAAAGGAACCGACGAAGCATCAAATTGAAAGGGCAGAGGCAGTTCTCCTAACTGAAGCAAAACCTGTACTGATGTCCCCGAGATCCCCCAGCAGGTCCGCCGGCGGCTGCAGGCCCATGAACTGCGTGCCGGCCAGCGCCTGCTGCGACCCCTGGGTCATGAGCACCCCCGCCGCCGCCGCGAACGCGAGCCCCCACGACGAATCGGACGGTGCGAGCCCGCCACTGTCCCGACCTGCCGGCTCCAGTGCCTCTCTCTCGTCAGAAACCACAGGAGCTCTAAGCAGCCGCGGCTCGCCCGGGTCGCGTTTAGCTAGGCACCTCAGCACCTGCATCGATCGGAGGCGATTTCGCGTCAGGTGGTCCGACACATCCGGGAGCTATCTATCTCTGTCCTCCGCTCAGGGATCGTGTGCGCTGTACCAGTCGGCCCAGAAGGCCGGCGAGACGCGGCGGCGGGCGGAGAGATGGAAGAGGCGTCCTTGTTCGGTAGGGTATGGAGGAGGAGGAGGAGGTGAAGACGGTGGAAGAGCAGGAGGTGACGGAGGCCATGGCGCCGCGGCGGTGGCTGCGACCTGCGGGGGCGGGGGCGGGGGCGGGACGGACTGAGCGGTTACCAGCCGCTTGCTCTTGGCCGTTGGGAATGGATAGAGTTCGAACGGGTTGTTGGTAGGTAGGCTCAAATGGCTGCCATTTTCCTGGAGAGGCCTGGCCCACTGTTTTGGGCCAGCCCACGTTCAAAGGTTCGCTTGGCAACTGCGGCGGCGGCACGTCCACGCTCCACCCCAGCATTGTCTTGGACGGTCGTCGGTTTTGCCAGGAGCTCGCCGGAGTCGACGAGAGAGTGATCATCCGTCGCCGTAGACGGTACTGTTGCTGCATTAGCACTTTGATCGACCCCTAGGAGGGACGATCCGGTCGTGCTAGCCCCTGCGAGGGACACCGTCCGTGTTCGCCTGCCGCCATGTCCGGAATGCACACCAGGTGCTCGACTCTATGCTCGTGTCGATTCTCCTAATCGTAGTTTGCTTAGTTGGTTTGTACTGGCGTGCATTTTCTTCCGTGCGCCATGGCGTGATGTTCGCCGTGGTGGTTAAGGTTTGCTTGACTGAATGGCTGGTCATGGATCATTGGATTGGACGACCCTGGCTGTGTCCTCCGGGCTTATTGGTACCTCTGGGCAGATAGGACGATGGAGGTTACTTTTGCACGCCGATGCTATGCACTGTTCTAGTGTTCTGGATTTGATAGTGCGCACTATGTAGGATGAACAGCGAGCAGAGTTAATTCCTAACATTATTTATGCAGTCTGATAGTGTGTCGAATTTGCTTCGACTGTGTTTAGCTGAAAGGCAAATGCACTTGGTGAGTTGGTGATGATAAGCTCAATCAGCAAGCGGAAATTGAGTTTTAACAGAGAAGAAGTGTGAAAAGCTCATTCCATACAATTTGATTGATCGTCAGATGTATGTATGTTAAAGCCCCACTTCATTTCACTACTGATGACTACAGAGAAATAAATGATGCTGACTATTCATATAATATTAATCAGTACTGGATAGTATCATATAATGAGAATAGATTACGAGTGTATTCTCTATTACATTTGCTAGATCCACTGACGAACAATAGTAACTAAACACACCTTTCCACTTTCTAGTATATGAAAGAGTAAACACACTTTTGGATCAATAGGTACTGTGGTAGATGAGTAAACACTTTGTTCTATAACCTGTAGGTTTGCTAATCATTAATTTGTTTGTGGCATTCAATGGTTAGGTTCCAGTCTGCTGCTTGAACCTGGCCATCTGGGAGAGCTTCTCAACAGCTTCAACCAAATGATCAAGCCTAGCAACGAATTCAATCAGTAGCGCTGCGAAAGTCACAAGCGACAGCATTGTGGTACTTTCAAGTGCACGCATCCTCGGAATCATATCAGAAACGTCATTTTCATCATCTTCAAAATCATCCACCTCCTGAGAAGGCCATGAATGCAGCCTCCTCTGCTGCCTTTTCATCATCTCATGGTAGGATTCAGGTTGCAGTGGCCCAGCTACTTGTGTTGTTATGTTTTCAGCCATCTTACTTTCTGGGTCATCATTTTGTTTGGTGTGAGGTTGAAAGTGACAGCCCAGGAGGTTTTCAACTGTGGCTTGGCAGAGTTGTCTTCACACAGTAGCTCTAGGGACTGCACGGAGAGCCTCAGATAACGCCAATGTTTTTCTTTGAAACAAAGATAACGCCAATGTGGCTGTTGTATTTGTGCTTGAGTTGAGTTGTTGAAGTGTAGAGTCTTATGGATGGACAGAGGTATATATAGCTTCCTTGGGAGGTTAAAGTGCAAGTAGACAAAGAGGTGGTGTAGCCGGCATAGTGTCACATTAGGAGAATATAAAAAAGGGCAACCTGGTGCATGTAGCTCCCGCTTGCGCAGGGTCCAGGGAAGGGTCCGACCACTTTGGGTCTATAGTACGCAGCCTTTCCCTACATTTCTGTAAGAGGCTGTTTCCAGGACTTGAACCCATGACCTCATGGTCACAAGGCAGCAGCTTTACCATTAGGAGAATATAGCTTCTGAAAATAACTGATGGAAATATTAATGCAGGTGATTTTCGAGATGCTCTCACTCAATAATGTAGGTGTTGATAGAGAATTGGAATCTATCATCTGAAATAATGCCATCTTTCCGGTACTGATTTGTAGTTTACGGTCTATTGTTTGCCAGGTTCGCAGCTTCACGTTGTCCGGGAGTGGACATGTTTGGAGCAGATCCTTAATAGAGGCATGTTGTCTTTATTTTGGATGGATACTACCACGAAATATCATCAATAGAATGGTTTTAGACTCTCCACCACATGCACATATTCTAAATGCATACGTGAAGCAATCTGCTGCTTAGATCCATGAGACCAAAATCTGGACTCTCAAAAATGAACTTTTGGTGTGATCAGAAAATCTTTACTGGTTCATGGACAGCAGGGAAAACCCAGAAGTTGAAGGATTTCTGCTAGTTTTGCTTACTAGTATGGTTCTTGATGTTTAATAAATACTGCATACTCATCAGCTTATCTAGCAAATCTCATTGCGACCAAAGAGACGAAGTTTCACCAAGAAAAAACATGTTTGAACATATATGATAAATTAGAATGTCCCTTCCAAAGTTTAAACTTGTCATCTGTCTCCAGCTTTATTGCTAGCTTCCAAGATACAGGGCAGCAAAGACTGCATGTTACAAGGATAGGACTAGGTATTTTCAAAGTTCTAAATAGCGAGCTATGGCAAATAGCGGCAGCCTGAAAATAAATTAAATTGGCGCTATAGCACCACAAATTTGTACAGGATGCCGTTTAGCGTGATGCCCCTCCACTATAGCCCTCTATTTAAAACTTCTGTATTTTTGTTGGTTGGTACTCTGATACTCTAAAAAAACATTGCTTGGTAGAGACCAGAGTTATTAGGCCAATAAATAGGGTTTATATTGCTAATCAGATGATCTTTCCTGATCCGTGTGCCATTTGCTAAAATTTTACCTATTTTTTAACGGCCACTGTAATCTTTAATCTGCAACAAAAAGTGTATATGTCATATCCCATGCTTGACTAGGCTATGATGATGATCAAATTTATGTTCTATGATTTTATCACTCTTGTATAATGCAAGGATCTGTGTGCGCACGCACGGATGCTCAGGTATGGTTTGATTCTTTTTGTGTCTGTCTTTTGGCAGGATTACGAGACCTGGGCATTTCAGCACCAGAAAACAATGTTAGACCTTTCAGCCTGAGCATTGATAGTTGTGGATGACACTAGGAGAGTTGGGACAATTTTCGTTGGTTTATTTCTCACACAATGCCATGCCAACCTGAGGGGTTGGGGATACATATTTATAGGCTGCTAGCCAGCCAAGGCATATGCTAAGATGCTGCTAAGATGCCAGTCTAAGATGCTAGTCTAAGATGCTAGTCTAAGATGCTAACTGACAGTCCTTGATGGTCAAGAACAGAACTCTATCCTAACAGCCAGTCCTTGATGGTCCAGGACTTTATCCTCCTAACTGCCACAAGGACCATGTGCTGCAGCCCCACAAGGACCCTAGTACACAGACTTATCCATCATTCTCCCCCTAAGTCTTGTACGTCGTCTTGTGGGAGAGTTGAATCATCCCTATCCTGGAGCAAAGTTCGAGGAACTTGACCCTCCCAAGGGGCTTGGTGAGCAGGTCTGCGAGCTGATCCTTGGTGTTGATGTAGCTCGCCTCGATGC